CGGAGCCCATGCCGATGTGGTGCTTCACTGCGATGCCGACCCCAGACGACACCCCCTTCTCACCATTCTCCCCTGTACGCACAGCTGGTGTCATTCGTAACTTCCAGCCGTCCGAACGCACACTGCTCTCACTCTGAGGTATGCGCTCACGCAAAACCCTGCACTCCTGGAAGCACATCACATGGGCACCCGCCAGAGCTGGATCAGTCAGGGCATGCTGGGTACCTGACCAACCCGACGTGTTGACTGTCACAAAGGACCATGAAGAGGCCGAACTTGATGCAGAACCTGAGTCCGGCTCGTCAGGCGAGCCTGCACTTGGCACACAAGGCGTGCTAAAGACTCGCCTGGCCCTCGACTTCCTTGCTCTTGCCGATACCCTTGGCCAGGAGAGCTTGGGCCTTCTCACGCAGCTCCTTACTGTTGCGTCCGAGAGGCGAGCCCTTGCCTTGCCCAGGTCCTTTTGCTGCATCCTGTCCTGGGGGGGCCTGGGACGCCGCCGCCGCCGCACCGCCGTCCGCCGCGGATGCCGCGCCCGCCGATGCCCCATCTCCCTCCCCAGCCGCCTTTCCATCTCGTCGTCGCTTGCCCGCAAGTCGGGCCCGTAGTTCTTCCTGCTCCTTCTGGGCGGCCTCGGCCTTGGCCTTGAGCTCGCCGAACAGGTTGGTGGCCAACTCCCTAAACTGAGTTTTGAGTCGAGCCTCCCGATCTTTAGCTTCTTTGACATCGGACTCCAGCAGATCAATATATTCTCCCAACCCGAATAAATCATCACCACACGATAAGTCCCAATCGGTGTCCTTGCCACTGAGAATATCACCCAAGGAGACCACCTTCTTGGCTGATGCGGCACCCTCAGGCTGAGCTGAGGATATGGTGCAGTGAAGCTCGGTGATCGCCTGCTTGTAAATCTCCTCCTGCGCCGCCAGCTCAGCCATGGTGGTGGACACGACCTCCTGCTGCTTCTGCACCTGCTCGTGCATATCTGCCAGCGTCGTGGTCTGGACCCGCAACTCCCCTTCCAACTTGACGATGGAACGATTTGCTTGGTCAGCACGAACCTGTGGGGAGACTGCGGTGCGGTCCTTGGCCACCAAGACCGACTCGTAGTACTGTGCGAGGGGAGCATTCTTCCCTTTGTTGGCCAACTCGATGATTTGTCGCACATCCTCAATGGATAAATCTGGCACTGGGTCCTTCCCTCCTGCCTGGGCTCCGACTGGCAACGGAACCTTGCCGCCAAGCCCAGGAGGAAAATCGCCCAGCTTACCTTGGTTCCAACCATCTCGGTCAGTCCCTTTGCCCTTCCTGGCCTTCTTCTTCTCGCCTGTCTGCCAGTGAGCACCGCAATGCTTGCAGTGCACCTGGTTCCACTCCGTTTTACTGCACCCACAGCGCTCGCAGCGCCACATGTGAGAACTGCTGCCATCCCAAGAATGCTGAGGAGCCATCAGCAGAAACAAAGTACAGTGAAAACAAGGGGCGCGGGTCCCTGTGACCAGCTCGAGCCCCCACCCCAGGGGAAGGGAAGCCCCCAGGCAATGGCCTTGAGCCAAATGGCTTGAGCCAAAATGGCTACGGATCTCCTCCTCCGCCTCCTCCTCCTCCTCCTCCTCGTCCTCCTCCTCCTCGTCATCATTCTCATCCTGCTCCGCCGTCTCCTCCTCCTCCTCCTCCTCCCCATCCTCCCCCTCCTCCTCCTCCGCCGCCTCCTCCTCCTCCTCCTCCTCCTCCTCCTCCTCATCATCATCATCACCATCATCACCATCACCATCCACCATCACCATCACCATCACCATCACCAGCACCATCATCATCAATCATCATCATCACCATCCCCTCCCCTCCCTCCTCTCCTCCTCCCCCTCCTCCTCAGCAGCACATCATCATCATCATCATCATCATCATCATCATCATCATCATCATCATCATCATAATTCATCATGATCATCATCATCATTATCATCATCATCATCATCGTCATCATCATCATCATCAGCATCATCATCATCAATTTCAGCATCATCATCATCATCATCATAATCATCAGCATCATCATCAGCAGCATCATCATTACCATCATCACCATCACCATCAACATCATCATCGTCATCAGCAACATCACCATCATCATCGTCAGCATCACCATCATCACCATCATCACCATCAGCATCATCGACATCATCATCATCAGCATCAGCAGCAGCACCATCAGCAGCATTATCATCAGCCTCAGCATCATCATCAACAGCAGCATCATCATCCGCATCGTCATCATCATCATCAGCATCATCACCAGCCGCAACAGCAGCATCAGCATCAGCAGCATCATCATCAGCATCAGCATCACCGTGATCATCAGCATCAACATCATCATCATCATCAGCATCAGCATCATCATCGTCATCACCATCACCATCACCATCATCATCATCATCATCATCATCATCATCATCATCATCATCATCATCATCATCGGCATCGTCATCATCATCATCAT